TGGACACTTTCTAGAACAGCCTCCCTCTCCTCCCTCTCCTCCCTCCCTCTCCTCCCTCCCTCTGTCTCCCCCCATCATGATTGGACACTTTCTAGAACAGCCTCCCTCTCCTCCCTCCCTCTCCTCCCTCCCTCTACTCCCTCCCTCTGTCTCCCCAGGATGGTGTTCAGTCAGCCGGCCATCCGCTTGCTCTCGGAGCGCTGTGGATGCTACTCGGATGATTCTCCGGATGACATGACCTTGGGAAGGTGCCTGAAGTCTATTGGCATACCCTCGACGCACAGTCGTTACTTTCACCAGGTGAGCAGAAGGGAAGGGGATGACCTGTGTGACCTTGAAGGATTCGGGAACAGCTAGAGGACAACTGTAGGTCTTGTGTGGCCTCCGTGACACAGTTTGGGGCGTTTAGGAGGCCGGCCGCGCCCTGGGTGTAGGGGACTGTCTGTCACAGGCCATCCTGGCAGAAAGATCTATAGTCCCCCCCCCCACCCCCCGGGCAGTGTGCTACTGACTGAAGTGTCTTTAGGCCATTCCCAATGGGGGGATAATGTTCTTATGCACAGTAGAATTGTAAATGGGCTGATTTATCAATGTCATGCTCATACTGTGCCGGAACAACATAGGGGGAACTGCTGCTTTTTCTTTCCTCATCCTTACTATCATCATTTTCCTCTACTTCTTTTGTATGTTTGTCACACTCTTGTGACCCGCTATTTCCGGGGTGCCTTGATAGTCGAAGCAGACTTTGTGCTGTTGAAGCTAGAGAGGTGAGCAGAGTAAGTCTTGATTCCCTGTAAGGACTTCTCTGTTGGCATCCACCCCTTGGCGCTCATATGACCTTATGCAGTTGTGAGTGCCGTAAAACCTCGACTGAAACAAAACTATCTGTAGTCTGTGACGGTCCATCCTGTGTTTCTCTCTCTGTTCCCTCGCTGGCTACACCTTTGTTCTTTCTTATTCTTTCTCATCCTTTGTTTCTCTCTGTTCCCTCACCTCCCTCATTTCACTCACTCCCTTACCTTCCTCCCTCACCTCCCTCACCTCCCTCCCTCCCTCACCTCC